TCATCATCATCATCATCATCGTTATCATCATCACCATTATCATCATCATTAGCAGCAGCCACATAATCATCTCTAGCATCATTATCATCGTCGTCAACGCCATTCGACATCGTCATCGTCACCATCATCATGGCTGTCGTCATCGTCATCATCCGCATCAGCATCATCATCATCATCATCATCATCATCAGCATCATCATCATGATAATCAGTACCATCATCATCATCATCATCATCATCATCATCATCATCATCATCATCATTATCGTCATCGTCACCGTCATCGTCATCGTCATCGTCGTCATCATCATCACCACTCATCACCATAATCATCATCATCATCATCATCGTCATCGTCATCGTCATCGTCGTCATCATCATCACCACTCATCACCATAATCAGCATCATCATCATCATCATCATCATCATCACCATCATCATCATCATCATCATCATCATCATCATCATCATCATCATCATCATCATCATCATCGTTATCATCATCACCAGTATCATCATCATCATCATCATTAGCAGCAGTCACATAATCATCTCTAGCATCATTATCATCGTCGTCAACGCCATTCGACATCGTCATCGTCACCATCATCATCGCTGTCGTCATCGTCATCATCCGCATCAGCATCGTCATCATCATCATCATCATCATCATCATCATCATCATCATTATCATCAGCATCATCATCATCATGATAATCAGTATCATCATCATCATCATCATCATCATCATCATCATCATCATCGTCATCGTCATCGTCATCGTCATCGTCGTCATCATCATCACCACTCATCACCATAATCATCATCAGCAGCCTCATCAGTATCAACAGCAGCATAAACATCATCAGACTCATCATCGTTAGTATCATCATCACCATCATCATCATCGTCATCGACATCGTCATCGTCATCATCACCAGCAGCATCGTCATCATCAGCACCAGCAGCATCAGCATGAGCATCATCAGAAGCATCATCATCAGCATCATCAGCATCATCATCACCCTTGTTCCTCTCAGCATCAACAGCTTCACCAGCACCACCATCATCATGATCATAAGCGTCGTCATCCTCATCCTCATCCTCATCCTCATCCTCGTCATCATCATCATGATCATCACCATCATCATCAGCGTTCATCAGCATCAACATCAGCATCAACATCAGCATCAACATCAGCATCATCAGAATCATCATCAGCAATGCTTCCGTGTCTGCCGTCCCCCCTCCTCCTATTTCTCCTCTTTCTCCTCCTCCTCCTCATCCTCCTCCTCATCCCTCCTCCTCATCCCTCCTCCCCCTCATCGGCATCCTTCCCACCCTACCAACCCCCACACTCAGAGCGATCCACCTCGCCTGGGCGAATGAGCATCGGCTCACGTCCAAGCCAGCTGCAACCTTCCACCCTCTCTCTCCCCTCCCGAGGAGGAACGACCCGGGGGGATTCCACCTCCCAGCCTGTCCAGGCTTCCCTTCCTGCTCTCCCCTTGCATCCCTTACGGCAGGTCCACGTCGTGACGACAACGGCATTGGTTCCTGTCACGGTCGGCCGTTTCTGGAACGTCCGATCGTCCGATTCTGGGTCGCCAGCGACGTTCAACGTTGAACGCAGGTGGCAGGGTCGCCGCCGGTCGACACGACGCGAACCTACTGTACAACCTTCTAGTCCCCCCTTTCGGTGGACGTTCAGGTGGAGGGCAACAAACGGGAGGCCGACCGGGAATTTCAGGAGAGTGGCTCCGAGTTGGCCCAGGAGCCCCCAACCCAAATTGCCATCGCCGCCCCAAGAGCTGCTGGAGGGGTGCACCCGTCTTCACCACACCCGCAGGTATCCCCCCAGTGGCGTACGCCCGCATCCTGGGAGGCGGGGTGGGGGGGCCAAAGGAGGCCCAGCAGGCCCCGAAACTGCCAACGCTGCCCCGAGAGTTGCTGGAGGGCTGCGCCCAACTTCACCCCCTCCCCCGCCCGCTTTCCCCAGCGCGGCCGCAGCACCGGCGCCAAACTATCCATGATCTGAGCGTCCCAACCCTGTCTTTGGGAGGCAACTGCCAGGAGGTCTTCGTAAGAACTGTACAAAACGATTGAGCCCGATCAGGGAGATATTCGGGCAGATCTGCCCAGACTAAGCTACGGAGGAAGCCCAGGATTAGCCCGAATTATTCTGCATTATCCCGATTGACGCGAGATTAGACCGGACTGCGCGGGATAGAGCCACATTAGGCAAGTTTCTGCGGCGAGCGAGGCAGGGGAAGTGAGAAGGAACGGGCCTTCTCAGAAGACTCCAACGTCCCCCAGCTTTCTGCGAAGTGGTCTGCGAAGGCGCGAGGGCTTCTGAGAAGCCCCGCCGCCTTATGAGAAGGCCTCCTGCTTCTCAATTCCGCACCTCGCTCGCCGCCACATGCTGGCGCCAAGTCTAAATGTAACCTCCAAAAAGATGTTCCCTAACCGAACGAGGAGGAATGAGGAGGAATGAGAAGG